AAGCTGGAAATGTGTAGACATGACACATGACACAAGTCGGAGGTGTCGCGCCATTTATACACAGTCCTGATGTCACAAGTTCAAGCAGCAGCTGGTGACACAGACGGAGGTTTGTTCACTTCAGCTCCAGCATCATCCTGCAGAAACACACCATGCCATGTGATTTAAATTTGGGGGAACATCACTCGTCTTTCCTCAGCAGATGAGCCAGATCACAGCTCCAGGCTCTGTAAGGACTGTCTGACCAAGAAGGAGAGCGGCTGCATCAGGTCACCTGGCCTCCATAATCACAGACCTCCAGCCGACTGAGATGGTGTGGGAGGAGCTGGAGTCCAGGATGAAGGACAGCAGCTGAGAAGGGCTGCATATGTTGGAGCTCCTTCAAGACTGGTGGAAGAACTCCAGCTGACGTTCTCATGACGCTGGCTAAGGAAACGAGGAGTGTGGAAAAGCAGGAGGAGGCTTAAATTTAAACCATATTGTGATTGTGTAGTTTTTTCTTTACCACATAACTCCAGAGTGTTGATGTCTTCAGCTTTGACCTGCAATGTGTGTGTCCTAACTTTTGACTATGATCTCATTGAATGGTCGTTCTACATTACTTCTTCAAGTTTAGTACGAAATTACAAATCAAAGAACACAAACCACAACTCTATGTCGGTTAGATCCTACAGGGGGAAATATGTTAACATGCTTTCTTGCCATCTTATTTCAACCGATCCTTCAATGCTTCACTATCCGCAGAAATGACGAGCTCCTACTGCATATCTCATCAGGAGATAGCAGCGCTGAGTTAGCCTTGAAAAACAGAAACATTCAAAAATAAACGAGCAACGATGCCTCCTCCCTCCTTCCCTCCTCGAATCATTCTCTCCTCCCCAACTCCAGCAGCGACCAGCCCCCCCTTCGTCCTCCTCATGTACATCAACAGTAAGTTAATGAGGTTTGAATGGGAGCAAACACAGCAGGAATCCACAAGTACTACGGCCCAGTTCTACAGAGGGCCCGACGAGCAGCGCCGAACAACAACAGTCATTTGGTGTGTGTGTGTCCTTCATTACCTACCTACAGAATGACAGTCACACTCTGCTCTTCACACACTACAGCAGTGGTCTGCCTCAGGGACAAAGCACAGGGCTCCCCTCCCATCACACACACACACACTCACACACACTCACACACACACACACTCAGGAGTGCAGTCCAGAATCCTGCTGTCACAGCAAATAGACAGTGAGGGAGTGCAGCAAACAGCATGAGCGAGCAGCGAGCAGGGAGGGAGGGAGGACGACCACAGCAGCAGCGACCGCTCACACAGCCGGAGCTGATATAAAGTTCAGAACAATGTTCAGGCCTTTTTACACAGAGACAGGAATGGACGCGTCCAACAGGTGGGAAATGTTACAGGTCAGACTAGTCAGACATTTTCTCCACATAGTCACGGTTGCTATTGTTTGATGCTTTCGACCTTTACTCTAGAATCACCGTTACACACAAAAAATATTTACCCCACAATGATTTCAATCTGGCTGCAGGTGTCTCAGTGGTTAGCACCGTTAGCGCCTCACAGCTAGAAGGTCGCTGGTTGGCGTCCCGGTGAGGACACCCGGGATCTTCCTGCGTGGAGTCTCCATGTTCTCCCCGTGCAGCGTGGGTTCTCTCCGGGTTCTCCGGCTTCCTCCCACAGTCCAGAAACATGCTGAGGTTAATTGGTGATTGTAAATTGTCCGTAGGTGTGAATGTGAGTGTGCTTGGTTGTCTGTCTCTAAGTGTAGCCCTGTGATAGACTGGTTACCTGTCCAGGTGAACCTGCCTTCACCCTGAGTCAGCTGGGATAGGCTCCGCCCCCCATGACCCTGGTGAGGATTAACGAAGCACACTCACATTCACGCCTACGGACAACTTAGAATCTAGCTGTGAGGCGACGGTGCTAACCACTTAGCCACCTGCAGCCCCACACCAAATATTTGAAATCTAAATAATTCCAGTGGCACAACAAAACCATTTGGTGCATCTTAAGTGGTGACAGACATTTGAAGGCGTGCTGACGATCTGACGGCTGGTTGGTGGTTGTTGAGCTAAACTTTATGCTAGTGAAGCAGCACCAGTAAGTTTGGCTGCTAACTGGATACCAAACAAAAGGTTTACGCAACAGATTTATTGACAAATCGACTAATGAACACCTTTGCACTTGACAGACATAAAAAAATAAATAATAATAATTCCTATTACCTCGCTACAGCCTGCTACTGGCATCAACACCCTCTCACACTTGAACTCGTTCTGTGTCTCGTATCCAGGTTGGTTTCTCCTGACTAGATCTTTGCTTGTGTTGTATCTGCTCTCATCGCTTTGGATAAAAGCGTCTGCTAAATGAAGCTGTAGATCTGTAATGTCTGGCAGCTGACTGTAAACCTGACTGTTGTATCGCAGCGATGTGATTCCAACGTGTTTCGATTCATTTCAAAGTTGATCAAAGTTGAAGCCTCCGTGAGCGAATCCATTCACTGCAGCGATTTCTCTGCTGTTGTGACATGGTCAGACTTTCCAATTTGCAAAAAAAGACATCATATTGAGTGATAAGACGGCTGCCATGAAATTGGCCGAGCACCGTCATGCTCCTGAGAGCACAGACGCTTTGATTTTAATGACCACGAGTTGTTTTTTTTTCCATCTACCATTTGAATGTGGAGCGCTAAAGGGGAATTTCTCGTCATGTAATTAAAGTAACAGCTAAACTTCTGCACTGACGGGTTTTTCCACTTATTTCATGTTAATTTGGAACTTTTTTAACTGATGAAAAAAGTAAATCTCAATATTACAAAAAGAAGAGACATCAGCTCTTTAGTGGAAACGTAGGTTGTGATCAATAAACAATTTGAAAATAGTAAACAAGACGTGACGTATGGAGGATCTGAAGGACAGATCTGAAAAAAGAGAAAGTAAGTGTGATTTAAATGAACTGAGATCTTTAAAAACCCAGATTGAGAACAGAAGCGACGGAGCTTCTGTGAAAGGAACCAGTTTATGGAACAACCTGAACAAAGAACCCAAAGAATCAATATTCACATTTAACAGAACAATTAAAGCCGTATGTTGAGGATTAATTATGTCTGATTGTAAAGACAGTAAATAATTATGTCAAATATTCTGTTTTTTTTTTAGAGTATTACAGAAAATGGATGTAAAGTAAAACGTGACTGTGAGCTCTGCAGGAGGACAGCTGATTCATCCTATGTTTGTTGTGTTTGTTGTGAATATTTTGATGTTTATTGTGTTGCTGTTGATGCTTTTCTTAATTTAAGTCTTTTCTTAAATGTCAGGAGTCAGGAATGTCTGTGTCGTGTTTAATTGCTCTGTTTTAATGAAATAAAAATTTAAATGAAATGAAAGCAGTGCTGCTCTCCAGCCACCAGCGTTCACAGCAGATCAAACCCAGTCCATCAGTCTACGTGTTTTAGCGACAAGGAAGCTCTCCAACCTCATAATTTCCTGAACTTCCCCTATGGGGATCAATAAAGGATTATCTTATCTTATCTTATCTTAATTTAGTCTTTTTAATCACGTATGCCCGGCGTGGCAATGTGCTGCATGGTATAAATGGATTTGCTGCTTGGATCACCTCGTGCCCTCATTCTAGCAGATATCAAAGCAGTTCTATCATATAATGCAGAGCTGAGGGACTGAGAGCTGGAGGGTAATGTGATGTCTTTTCTTTGGCACTGCGGCGATCATCGGCTGCTATTTAGCAGCTAATCAGCTCTCCTGCTTTGTGCTGCGATCAGCTGGTTTCCTCTGTTAGCACTACCTGTAGTTTAAACTAAACTGGTCCCTCTCAAAGCCACGTCTGTTGTGGATGTCTGCGTAACAATAAGACCTCCTCATAAATTCATAAACGTAGACGTGACAGACTCATTGATGTAAGAACAGTGGCAGTCTAGGTCTGAACAAGAAGGGCTTTCCAATTCTGGTAGTAAGATCTGAGTTTCACTGGTTTCATCTGCCCAGAATACAGAACAGGACTGCGTGTGGATTTTAACGAGCAGTAATGATCCTAAATCTTTCCTGACTGAAGACTGGTGCAGAGATGAGTCTTCTGTAGCTGCAGTCTAATCAGATGAATCCGGAGAGCTTTCATCCAGCTCCATGCTACCAGGTAACCCTGCCAGGTTTCTACATAAGCGTCGAAAACAGTCGACCAGTGCTAGACACACAGCATCGGATCAACTAACTGGGAGACCTGAAAGAGTCAGAAAATGACGGCAGAGCTGATTCACTCACTGTCCTCTCCAGGGCAGGGCATGCCAGGCTGCTCCGGGATGCTGGGGAAGACTGGAAAAGAAAAAGAAAACTGACTGATTCTCATCTGTTCTTCTTCTTCTCCTGTCCTCAAGCAGCAGTGCTGATTTTAGCCATGATAACTGTAACCACACAGTGTGTTTTTCATGCCATAAAACAGCATTAAATGTAAATAAAATGTACCTTTTCAACATAAAAATATATTTTACTTTCACCAAATACAAGCTAAGTGACTCTGTAGCTCCTAACAAGGCTCCACCGGTCAAAACATCTTCATCTAGCTCCTCCATCTGTTGAAGTATTTTGAATAAGAGCCACTTTCATACACAGTAGTGAGGTCTCAGTTTTCTGACATTCACATAAAAGTGAGCTGATATACTGTGAACACTACTTTCAGGTGGCGACCTTTCATGTTGCTGTCACAGAGAATGAGCACGTTTCAGGAATACTACCAGCACTTCATCTAAATCTTCATCTAGAAGTTCACAGAAGAAATCCCACCTTATTTATTTCACTTGATCTAAGACACAGAAGATGGCAACAGCTGTAGGCTCAGAATGAAACGACAAACTATGTGTACGAAAGACAAACTTCTTTATGTGTCTACGCTGCTTCTTAGAGAGTCATTTCCACAGAATATTTATTAAAAAATGCTGCTCTGCCCTCTGTAATGTTACGGCCACTTCCCCATCATCTGCTCCGTGGCTTTAGTCATTCAGGCTGTTGCTCAGATTGGTCATCGGGTTCATGACATTGTCCGCTTGCATATTTCAGACTAAGGAGTTTCTTTACTCCCGGATTCAGGAGCAAAGAATGAGAAAAAACATGAAATCCCACAACCATTATTTGTTTTCATAACCTCCGGAGCCAGCAGAAGTCTGCAGAGGGCTGGTTTGCTGAAGCTGTTTAGACCGGGGCCTTCAACACGTAGGAGCTAAGAGAGCCAGGTTCAGACAGCGGCTCAAGATAAAGAGCTAGTATACAAAAAATAGTTTCTCAAATGCACATCATGCAAACATGTGCTACACAGACCTGGAGATGTGCAAAAGGAGCAACTCACCATGCAGCAGCAAACCAGACTTCTTGGTTCGACTGTAAATCCGAAATGCCTCCTCCAGCTCCATCTGAGAGGAGATGGTACAAGGGTCCCCTACACACACACACACACACACACGCGCACACACACACACACACAAATGATAAATATCCCTTCTTTGCACTCATTAACAGGTTCAAAGACTGGTTCATCCTTCTCACATTGTTTGATTTGAATCATTTCACCGTCAGAGACTGCGTTACCCAGAAGCTAAGCTGAAGAAAATATATTTCTTTTCCTGGTAAACCATTAAAAAATCCAACAGACGATTCCTCAGATGGGGTGGTTGGCTGCTCAAGGGTCTGAGAGCTGCCAAAACATGAGCGACCGACCACTCAGTAGGACTCCTGAAGCGTTCGACCCTGAAGCGTTCGACCCCTCAGCGTTACCCCATTTAGACTGACACACCGGATGGAGTCTCTCTGTAGGGCTTAGCCTGTGCCAGCTAACCCACCCTCACATCCCCTTCTCAATCAGGGTTGGATGCAGGTCAGAAGAAGGTCGGTTATCACATGAACGGGTCACCTGACGCAGGCTCCCACTAAGGCATCTGATGTTGGTACGACCATTAACTCAGCTCCACCTCACAATCTTTTTTAGCTGATTAGCAGCATGTGTTTTGAGTAGAATGTCCGTTAACTCTGGAAAACTGACAAGAAAAATACACCCGCCATGTACATGTGACATCCAGCTGGGCAGAAACCCTGTAGCAGGTCTGGGCGAGAACTACGTTTTACGTGGATGGCGAGAACGCAGGTTGATTGCGTGTCACGGTACCGTCTGAAAGTGATGCTAGAGATTAAATGCAACACTTGGAAGTAGTTCCATTACACTGTGATGTGGCAGTGCTGACTTCTGGACTGGCCAGAAGCCCGGGAAATGGGCTCTCTGGCCCCTTGGCTGCCTCTTTGAGCCAGGCTTTAGAGGGCTGGGGGGATCGAACAGGACACAGCAGGTGGCATCAGGACGAGACGGAGCATGCTCGCTGATAGACAGTGACCGTCAGGCACACCCACCTTCATCATCAATCCACTTGAGTGTGATGGGCTGCTGCTTGGCAACGCTGCACAGTGTTTTCACCTCCTCGCACAGCTCCACAAAGGTTACCGTGGCAGCCAAGTCTGTGATCAGCATGTCCCTGAAAGCACACAAACACACAGAAAATGTCAAGATTGAGCCACTTTGTCTGAGTGGAGCAGATATGCCTGAAGGGCTCCCAACGATCCACACGACCACATAAAGAACTGAAGGTACATTTCCCTTCACGGTCTGGTGTTGTAGGTTACACACGAATGATCAAAATGATAAATTAGCAGTTGAATTAGCTCGTATCTTTCAGTGTTTTTACAAAGTGCTAGGATGCACAAACAGGTCTGAAAGAGAAAAGGGTGGAGATGACGTTGGCTGGGTCTGTAGGAGAGTTAATGACCCACTGGCTGCAGCCTTCTGTGCAGTATTTACTGTTGGCTCAGGCCCGTCTCAGCTGTGCAGCAGCTCGTGGTGAAGTTCACCTGCACATTCAGGAGAGACGATGCAGGTGTTAAATTGTGCGATCCACAATTTGACAAATGGACAAAATTAAAGAGGCACGCCGCTGATTTTGGACTTGAAAATCCGTTGACCAGTTATACGAGATGCTTCTACAAGATAATAAACATTATTTGTTTCATCTGAGACTAGTTTTGCTTCCAGATGCACAACAGAGAGCCTGGGAGTGTCAGATGTTTCCCACACAGGGAGAATCTGATAGATGTTGTCGAGTTGCATTATGGGAAATGTAGGAAGCTGTGTTTTGGGATGCTGGCCCATACAAGACATTTTAGCCTCTGTTGTTTCTCCCGACTTCAATCTGCTGTCATCCCATTAATGTTATACTGGACTACATTCACACAGCTTGACCAGTCCAGCGCTAAAGCAGCACTAACAGCAGACCACACAGTGCATGATGTATGATCTATATACTCCAGTTACAAAGATGAAACATGGTTGTTCCTACATAGAAGAATGGATGTTACTAGTTTTGTTAATTATAGTTTCTTCCTTTAATAAGAAAAATAGACATTTTGACTCATCAAATGGTGAGAAATAAGAAAACCCGCAGATATCTGACAAATAGTGGAACACAGACCCTCACTGTATGTGAACCAGTCATGCTCTCTGTCATGTGTTGTCATCCTCCAAGACCAGAAAAAAAAAAAAAAAGAAAGAAAAACGGTCTTTAGTCTGACAAGAACCTCGTCACAGGAAGAACCCATTTAATTCTGGTCTGGATCCGGACCACTCTTGTTAAAACAATGAGATGTGAAGATGTCTTTGATTAGCGCGTTAATCATCTGTAAAGAGCTTCAAATTGCTCCAACCTGCACAAAGTCTTAAATATAAAATAACATTTTTAAAAGCTGGTTGACTGAACCATTCATGGCATTGAAACCAAATTTGTAGTCACCCACTAGCCAAACTTGCATCCATCCATC